ATTTACCAAAGTATGCTTTGTCCATATACAAATATATCACAATGAATACAGATTTTATATATAATTATAATACACTACTTTTTAGAAAAACTTGCAGTTTTAAGATGAATAACTTCTGGTGGCCTAATGTAGAGCAGAGTGGTTATGGTGAATCATAATATGAAGCTTGAAAGAAGAGAATTTACAATAACCCCTGCAAAAGAAATCACAAAGTGCTTTGACATCTTTCTATGTAAAGGACCTTTAATATTTTCCCAAATTTATATGATCCTAAACAACTGCTTGATTGTATAAGCAATAATTGCAAAGTTATCAAAATGTTATATTTTTTTCCTGATCCACCAAAAAGAAAAAAAATACTCTCAAGAGTATTCAAGTAATTGAGAAAAAGCTAATAAGTTGCAGTAAGAAAAGTTGAAATAAAAAATCTATGTATTCAATATAACTCTAAAGTCATTTTTAAAATATCAAACATATTCATAATGTATATAATCCCATATTTATATTTATTTTATATTTAGTATATACATTTAATATGTAAATATACACTTTTTGCAGTCTCATATTTTGTTATATAATTAAACAAGGGTAAATATACGTGTACATATATAATTGACAAAAGAATAGACACAAAACTATTAAACAAGTTGAAGGAGGCTGTGGGATCATGAATTTTTTATTGCTTCTCTGTATGTTCAAACTTTTATGTGATAATTTTCACTTTTTATCTAATGCAAACTGAAGTGTTGCTGGAAACCAGAAGGACCCATGGAAGGTTGTCATTCTCTCCTGTCCCTCAGACAGGCTAAAGGGGTGTCTGTAAGAACTTGGAAGCCACAAGACAGCCAGTGACAAATGCAAGTGACAGTAGCAGGAGTCACAGTAGCAGCAGGAATAGCCCCTGCCTCCAGCATCAGCAAAAAAACAAAAGAGAGCTGTGGCTTCCTCCCAGATCTCATGAAGAGATGGACAACCAGAGCCTGGATTTTGATCATTTCCTTTCTTCTGCTGCTTTTGGTGTTGATTTGTTCTTCTTTTTCTAGAGCTTTCAGATATAATGTTAAGTCACTTATTTTTTAACTTTTCCTTCTTTTAAGGAATGAACTCCATACAATGAACTTTCCTCTTAAAACTGCCTTCATAGTGTCTCAGAGAATTCAATATATTGTATCTGTGTTCTCATTCACCTCTAAAAATGTTTTAATCTCCTCCTTGATGTCTTCTGCAACCCATTGTTCATTCACTAGCATAATATTTAGTCTCCAGGTGTAAGAGTAGCTTTTATGTCTTATTTTATCATTGATTTCTAATTTCATGTCTTTATGACTTGATAGAATGCTGGGTAGTATCTCTACTTTTTTATATTTGCTCAGAGTTGCTTTGTGGCATAGTATATGGTCTATTTTATAGAAGGATCCATGTGCTGCTGAGAAGAAAGTGTATTCACTCCTTGAACAACAAAAGAGACAGAAAGAGGGAGAGAAAGAAAGAAAGAAGGAAAGAGAGAAAGAGAAAGAAAGAGAAAGAGAGAGAGAAAGGAAAGAAAGAGAGAGAGAAAGAGAGAAAGAGAGAGAGAAAGAGAGAGAGAAAGAGAGAGAAAGAGAGAGAGAGAGAGAGA